AGTTGGTGATGGATTCTTAGATATAAAACACCACCAGCACAAGCAATAAAAGAAGAACTGGTAAGGTGGACTTCATCAAAATTTAAAACTTTTGTGCAAAGAAATTATTATGAAAGTGAAAAGATAGCCTACAGAATGTAAGAAAATATGTGTAAGTTATATATCTGCTGGGGTTTAATAGTTAATACATATATAACTTCCACAACTCAAGAACAAAAAGACGGATCAATTAAAAAAAAAACTTGAATGGACATTTCTCCAGATGAGACACACAAACGGCCATTAAGACCATGAAAAGATGCTCAGCATCATTAGTCATGAGAGAAATGTAAATCAAAACCATGATATTATCTCACATTGACTAAGATGACTACAAATAAAAAGAAAAAAAGAGAAAGGGAAATTAGTGTTGGCAAGGATGTGGAGAAACCGGAACTTTCGTACACTTCAGGTAGGAACATAAAATGATGGAGCTGCTGTGGAAAACAGTTTGGCGACTCCTCAAAAAGCTGAACAGAGATGGCTCAGTATTCCACTCCTAGGTATATACCCAGAAGAACTGAAAACAAAGACTCAAATAGACACTTGTATATCAATGTTTGTTGCCCATTATTCACAATAGCTAAAAAGTAAAAACTACCCAAGTGTCTTATCAACAGATGAATGGATAAAGAAAATATACTATATTCATACAATGAAATATCATTCAGCCATAAAAAGGAACAAAGCTACATGCTACAACATGAATGAATGGACTCTGAAAACATTATATTAAGGGAAATAAGCCAGAGACAAAAGGACAAATACTGCATGATTCCACTTACACTAAATGTCTAGAATGGCCAAATTCATAGAGACAGAAAGTAGATTCAACATTACTAGGGCTTGGGGGAAGGGAGGAGTGGGGGAGTTAGTACTTAATGTTTACAGAGTCTCTGTTTGGAGTGATTAAAAATTTTGTAATAGATTGTGGTGATGGTTGTATAGTACTGTGAATGGAATTAATGCCACTGAATCGTATACTTAAAATGGTTTAAAAATGATTAAAATTGCAATTTACGATACATGTATTTTACCATAATTTTTTTAATGGGGAAATAAAGGACCCCAGCATAGTGTAAAATCTTAAAAATAACAAGATTTCAATCTCCAGTTTTCCAATTTAACAACAGAATAATCCTCTTGAGTCTGTTTTCTGATATGTAACAATAACAATAATAATCAATATCAACAACTTTTGAGGAATTACTATGGCAAACCATTGATCTCAAACTTGCATTAACTAATCTTCACAACAACTTTATGGAACTAAGTACTATAATCATCTCATTTTTCCAGATAGGAAACTGAAGCACAGAGTGGTTAAGTAACTTGTGTAAAGTCACACAGCTGGAGACTATGAAACCTACTTCACAGGGTTGTTTTAGAAATGAAATGCCATTAATCGTATCTTTAAACTGCTTAGTGCAGACCCTTGCACCACGTAGATAAGCCAACCTGACATTATTCCCCTGTAACCCTCCCTTCCTCAGCAAAGACTGCTGCCATTTCCCGCCTGCCATCTGCCTCACACATAGGGTGTCACTCTAGGATCTTGCTTTATACGTGTAAGATCCCTCTATCTACTAAACCACTGATGTCTCTTGCTGACTTCAGCTCTTTCTTTGGTCTTGAGCTGGGCAAGTCCAGGTTTTCTATGCCGGTGGGGTGCAGCTCAACATTAGGGGAAAAAAATCTAAAACAATGAGAAAAGTTACCTTTTTTCTCAAGGTGGGTGCCACTGGCAAAGGGGCCAGACAATTCTTCGTTGTCCAGGACTGGCCTATACATTGTAGAATGTTTATAATCCCTGGACCCTACATACTAAACGTCATACTGCTCTTTTCCACCCTGTAATGAGCAACTAAAAAAACAAAAACAAAAACCTCCACAGATACCCATGGAAGCAATATCACATTGAGAACTAATGATAGAAGGAGTTTGCAATCAGATTTCTTTGAGTATTTTAACTGCTTGTTCATCTCCCACTTCAGAAGTTGCCAACTTCAAAAAAATTCAAATAAAAATTCACTATAGAAATATCCATTCTTCTAATTTTGCTGAGGAAATTCTGCCATGAAAAAGTGAGATCCATGTTACCTAGCAACACATTCATGCTTAACTTGAAACTTTTAAAAACCAATATAACCACTATTCAAACATATGGACAATAAAATGTTTTTCAATCAAGTATTAAAATTTTAAAAAACTGTACAATCTAAACTACTCTTTTTACAACAATAGTGGGACAACACTCTTTTGTAACTGACTGATGAACATTCAAATTTTTAGGTGCTGAAAACATTTGAAAGGGTTTTGTTGATCTTTCTCTTACCTCTAAAAGCAATACAGATTCTGGCCTTCAAATAACAGATACATTTTTAAATGTAGTTTCTATTAAACAGACATGTAAATTGCAAAGCCTTTCATCTCTAGCAGCCATAAGATGTAAATTTAACCCAGAATATTACAAAATTTTCTCATAGGAGACAAATTACAAATTGTTTATAATTTAATCACTAAAATCAAAAGATCTGAATAATATAACAAAAGGCACTAAAGTTGGAGAGACTGTCAAAACTATTTGGTTACTTGGCTTTCCTAAAAAAAATTATACTTACTACAGATGCTTCAATTACTGTCTAAAATAAAATAGCAAAGAGGAAACTAGATCATCAAATATTCTACTTCCAAAAGATGACTTTAATTGCTTTCCTACAAGTCTTAAGTTAAAAGAAGTCCAAGTAGATAAACTGGTAATAGTAGACAAACTAGGAAACCCATTCCAGATTTTGAAGTAAATACAGCATTTATATATACTGTATTTTCTTAAGTCTTTTCTTTTTAATGTAAAACTTCAAACAAACAATCTTGTACATCATATAAAGAGAAGAGTATATAAAATAAGTATTTACAGTTGAAAGAGAATTAATAAAGTGAATAGCTGCATACCCATCTCAGGTTAGGAAACAGACTGTTACCAGAACCCTAACCTTCTATGTGTCCCTCCTCCACAACCACTTCACATTCCCACCTCCCCCACATAACCTCTCCCACCAGCCTCACTTATGCATGTCTTTTCTTTGTGGTTTTACTCCATATGTAGGTTAAATCTTGAACAAAGAAACGAAATTAGCAAGGATTAAAAGAATGTAACGAAATCTGAAAAAAATGTAAACAAACTTAAAAAAAAAAAAGAAAAGATTTCTTGGGTGTAGCATATCCTTCAGGAGTTTTTATTCATCTGAAGGATCTGTGTACCTACACCCCACTGTTGCTAGTTGAGCAAGCTTCAACTGACCCAGGTTTCAGCCTTTCCTTGGAGGCATGTGACTTGGTTCTCCCAGCTTGCTTTTGTTCTTAGCCCTTCTAATGGAGACTTATGCCTCAAGTGCTCTCTTACTACCTGCTTTCGTACGGAAATTTTTTTTTTCAAATCACCTTTATTTTGTTACGAAACAACTCTGCTATGAATTGGAGTACTAATGACAATCCAGGCTCATGTGCATGTTCTCCAAACAACTTAGAAAACAGTGTAATGTTAGAGCTGTAAGCAAGGCTTTAGGAATTATATTTATTTAGAGAAATTATATTTGGTTATATAGGACCTAAGTACAAATTTAGACTGCCTAATTATACACGGTGAAGTTTACTTTTCCACTCCATTCGATTAATCATAATGGAGATTAACGATTGTTTAAATCAAGTTGTTGCCAGTGAACAGAAATTTTGGGAGCAATTTCACCCTTATAAAGAATTAAGTCACTAACAATTCATAGTTCAGGAAAACCATTCATAAACAGTTTTCATTGCCTTCCCCTCTTCACCTAGTATCTAGAAGGATAAGGAATAAAAGAGTAAGTATCTATGTACTTTTTCTGGAATATACTTTCTCCAGACTCTTAAATCTACTGCCCTACCTGCACTTCACGACATCCTCGCTAGTCACCAGATATACAGCCCCCTGTCACTGAGTCCACAGCAGGGAAGAAAAATGAGTATTTAGTGCTGACAGAGGAATTTCTGAATTATCTGCAATCCTAAGCTAAATAACAGGACTAAAGGAGTATGCCCAGGGCCCAGAAATCAGGATACTAAATCATACTGCCTAAAGGGGCAACAATTCACTGCACAAAACACGACTTTTTAAAATGTACTCACGGTAGCCACATTTTTTACAGCCTGCTCGGACACTGTCCTTGTTGCAACCTGAAATACAATTGGAGAACATGTTAGGAGACATACAAACAAGTAAAAACATAAGCATTTCATCACATGGCAAAGCTAAGAAAACCACCTGCTGTAGAATTTATTTAAAAAATCATCTCCGACGTAGCTTAGGAACACTACTCAATTGTTATGACTATTAGAAATCATTAGAAAAGCCAGTTTACTCAAACTATTCCCTTGACAAATAGTTCAAGGACACATTATTCTGTAATTCATTCAACAGAAATGCAATACTATAGTCGAGAACTTAAAGATTCTAGGAATTCTGTAACACTGCGGAAGAAATTCCAGGGTACCTTGGCCCGTCCCTCAAATGTAAGATAATTAATTGGCTAGATATATATGTAAACATTCAGGTTAACACATGTTCTTCTGCTTTTCCTTAGAAGAAAAAATGTCTAAATTTCTTAGAAGAATTGGTCAAATTCCAGAACACTTTAATTGCTAGGTATTATTAGAAACATCTCAACACAGGACTCCAGTTTTGACAAGAGAAAACAAACTAGTCACATATTCAGTCTGATCAATGTTCAGAAATATTTACAGTATCTCTGTACAATTACTGGTGCATGCAGGTAATGTTAAAGATACAAATAACAGATGAAATAAATTAAAACTGATGTTTGTGATAACATACACAGAAAATAAACATTTACCATATTTACCATTTCTAAGTGTACAACTCAGTGACATTAAGTACATTCATAATGTTACACAACCATCACCAACGCACTTCCAAAACCTCATCACCATCCCACACAGTAACTACACCTACTAAACAATAACTGTTCATTCCTCCTTCCCTCTAGCTCCTAGTAACCTCTATTCTCCTTTCTGTGTCTATGCATTTACTTATTCTAGGTGTCTCATGTAAGTGCAATCACATAATATTTATCCTTTTGTGCCTGGCTTATTTAACTTAGCATAATGTTTTCAAGATTCATCCATATTGTAGCATACACCAGAATGACATTCCTTTTTATGACAGACTAATATTCCATTGTATGTATATATAGCCTGATTTTAGCCTCCAAGAAGGGCTCCCATCAACCAATCAAAGGGCCAGTACAGTATTACTCTACTTCCTTAATGAAGGGCATCTAACTTCTAAATCCTTCAAATTGTGAAATCTCAATTTAATAATAAAGTACATAAAGTATAAATTAATATAGCTAATTTTAAAAGATCATTTCCAATCATTTCTTTAATGTTATGAAGGTCAAATATTAGTCATTTTCCCCAACTCCAATCTTGCTTTAAAATATACATTATTTAGTTGTTTTAGTAAAAATATAGTCAGTTCTGCTACAATGCTTGTTTTAAAAACATAGATTTGTTCCAATGCAATTGCTATAAGAGGGAACAATTTGAGCTTAGCATGTCCACAAAATATACTAGGTGAATAAAGAAAACCACATCCAGTTGCTCTGAGCCTCACATAGACACACCTCAAAACATTTCCAGCGACCTCAGTTCACCACGTGTGCTCTGAGCAGCACCACCCATATTTGGTGTTACGACCTTCCATCTGATTTGGCATCATCACCTTCCCACCATTACTTCAAAACAACTCACAAGCTGCAATTCTCCTGGTCTCCACTTCCACAACAAACTTCAGGTCTTTTAAAAGTACAGCGCCCTATTTGTTTCAGTATTCACATATCTTTTAACCAATTGACATATGCAAATAAGCTCCTATGATTTTGATGTATCACTGATGAAGTTTGAGTGTTGTGACCCAAACTCATTTTATTTTTTTCATAAACCTTATGGTTTTTATTGCAGAGTGTAGGAACACATATGCTGCATGGTAGCAGAACTATGGAACAAAATTGGATTAATAATGAAATCTGAGGCTCTTTCATTATGAAATAACTGCATGTTGAAAAAAAAAAGCTCAGTATTCAGGTCAATGTTAAATCTGTTCCCATAGAAACCACAGACACTGAATAATACTGAACAAAGCTGTGCTAAATGCACCATTACCATTCCTACAACAAACTAAAAATGATGTAACGGACAGATTCAAAATGATCTCATCTCAGCATGTATTAGAAAGTAACTCATTTATGACTAAAGACACTGATAAAACTCATCATTCAAGTGTCTCATTTTTAGAATGAACAAAATATAAAATGTTTTCAGAGCAGTTCATCTTCTTCAACAAGGGTGTAATTTTTACATGAAAGGGAACTATAACAAGAACTCCAAATAATTTCCTGTCAGCTACTTCCCCACCAGCCTCTGGTTACATTAAGATCTCAAGCTTCATTTGCCTGTAATTTTCAGGACTATCTGGCCAACTAAAGGCTTCTACTTGAAACTTGAATCTGATGCAACAGACACAATAAAGCTGAGACACAATGAAATGGGGACAGTTCATTCTGCTGTAAGGATCCAGCTTCTGGAGGCAGTGATGCCACTGGCAGCAGCAGCTCTAACAAGGTCTGGGCCTGTGCAGATCTTGGCTATGGGTTCCCTCAGTCTTGCCTGTTTTCAGAGCCTTTACCATCCAGCCTTTTCTTAGATTCTGTGAGCTACCTGAGATCTTTCCTATTCCACTTAAATCAACTAGTCAGTTTCTGTTGCCTGGAATAAGAACTCTGCTAATATAAAGGTACTTGAGATCCATGTCAAACTTAATAGCAAGGTTGTATCAGGAGGCCCTTAGTCTGACAAGTTATCCATTTTCCCATCTTAGTTCCCATGCTGTTCTTGTTTCACTCAGCTTTAAAGTTTGCTAAGGCTGTTTGGGGTAACAGACCCTGCTTCCCTCAAAATGTTCCAACAATCCAAAATCCATTAACTAATCATGGCCCACAATTCAAAAGCCATTAAATAAAACTTATAAATTTGACTACATAAAAAAAATCTAAATGTCAAAGACACCAAAAGCAAACTCAAAAGACGAATGAAAACATGGGAAAAATATTTGCAATTCACAGCACCAACAAAAGGTGTTATCCCTACTCTATAAAACCCACCAAGCCATGAAGAAGACCAATAACCAAGAGGGGGAAAAAACGGGCAAAGTTGCTGATCAGAGAGTTAACAGAAAAGGAAACGGAAACAACTCTGCAACATGGAAAGATGCTCAGCATTTTTCATAATAAATGAAATTAATTAAAATCTATACTGGATTAATTAAAATCTATACATGGAAAGATGCTCAGCATTTTTCATAATAAATGAAATTAATTAAAATCTATACTGGGATTCCATTTTCACTTAGCAGAATAGCAAAAATTAAAAAGGTTGATGAGGGTGTAGGGGGACACACTCCCATCTATTGCTGGTAGGAGTATAAATTAGTACCATCTCTATGGAAAGTAAGCTGACGAAATCTATCAGAACTAGCAATGTACATACTCTTCTGATAC